TCATTTTATTGCGGTGAGAGCACTTAACATGAGATCGACCCTTTGCGTAACAAAAGTTTGAGCGCATGATACATTACGGGTCACTGAAGGCACAGCATTGTACGACAGACCCTCTAAAGCTGCTGCATCTTGCCGGACTGGAAACGCGACGCTTGTTGGTTACAAACCCCCCACTCCCCCTCCTCCAGCCCACAGGCAGCTACCACCCCACTCTCCGATTCTCTGAACTTGACCGCTTCAGATATATCAGCGGAATCATCAAGTGTACTTGTCTTTCTGTAACTGGCTTATGTCACTTAGCATAATGTCCTCAAAGTTCATCTATATTGTCATATATTACAGAATTGCCTCCTTTTTAAGGAGAATAGCATTCCATTGTATGCATACCCCAACGTTTTCTCTACCCATTCATCCATCAGTGGACATTTAGATTGTTTCCACATCTTAACTCCTCTGAATAGGCTGTAATGAAGGCAGGAGTGCTAATATCTCTTAAGGGTCCCAATTTCAGTTCTTTTGGATAAATATGCACAGGTGGGATGGCCGGATCATATGGTTATTCATTTTTAAAAAATTTTTTCAAGGAACCTCTACATCGCTTCCCATTGCAATCCACAAGGGTTTCAATTTCTCTATATCCTCACCAACACTTATTTATTTATTGTTTTTACAATAGCTATCCTGACAGGTGTGCAGTGATAGCTCATTGAGGTTTCGATTTACATAATAACTTTCGTGTGCCCTTAAAAGAATCTTTGAGAGGAAACACCTCGAGCCACGCTTTATTTGCAATGAAGAAATTTATGCCCCAAACAGGAAAACAGAGACATTTCATATTCGCCGAATGATTATCCACTTAGCAAGCACCTAATGAATTACCTTAGAATTTTCACAGAAACTGCCAGAAATCACCCATGGGAATCTGAAGAATATAGTAATTAAAAGGATGCTGTTTGCGGTGTGCATTTCAAAAGCAATGTGTTGAGCATCCAAGTTCAATAGGGAACACGTGACCTTCACTTCCAGGTAGGGCTGGGTGCAGGTGGGACGCCAAGCTGTTTGTGGGAGGTCTCCCCTGGTGACTCGTATGCCTCTGAACACAATGACAGCATGGCCGCAGTGCGGTCAGCAAGCAGGCCGACGTCCACAGCATGCATCTTTCTTTATCACACCTGGGCAAGGAGCTGAAAATATGTTTATTGTGAGGCTTTTAAGCATACGCTTTGCAGTTCTCTAAATCACGTTAGGATTTCATTTTCTTAGAGCAGCGTCTAAATGGATGCCCTTGAAAAAATGTTCTCCAGGAATTGCCTGTTTCTTACGTGTTCGTATACACGTCCTGGCTGTGTCTCACATCTGCATCCTGGGGACAAATAGTCCCCGGGGCTAGGATGGCATCCTAGAATAGGAATGGCGCATGTCCTGCAGTGCATAACTTAACCCAGAGTGACATGTGGGTCAAGGAGTTCTCGATGCTTTTCTGGAATTCACATCGACTTTACCTTCTAAAGGGCAGCGTCTTCCCCTGGCTTGGGGCGGGCGCTCCCGGCAGGGGATGGGAGCACGGGCAGTGAGTTCAGGGTGTGCAGCTTGCAGCCCCAGTTCTGCCTCCTCCCGCCTCCGACCCGGAGCCAGCCCCTTTGCTGCCGTCTGCACCTCTGGGAAACCCAGGTGATGTCGGCACCGGCTGCACAGGGCTGTCGCGAGCACTGGCGACTGCAGAGCTCTCGGGACAGTGCCCACACGTACCTGTTGCTCTTTTGCTGTTAGAATTTCCAAGAGGAAGACCAAGGGGAAATGACCGAAAAGCGAGACTAGAACACTTGAGTCCCTTTAACCAGCATCCGTGGGATGCCCGCTGAGCCCAGCCTGTGGCCCAACGGGGTGATGCTCTTCCGTCTCCCAGACTGGAGATCTCCTAGATGTATTACAAAAACTATTTGGAATGATCAAAACATGGTTCCATTCTGTCTTCCCCTGAAGCTAAAACAAAACGTGATGGGAAAAAAAAAGGCTATTTCGTTGTCTTTAAGATGCAAATTTGGAAATAGGGTGGGATGTCTCATGTGGCTGTTTCTTACAATGAAGGCTGAGGCGGGAAAGCTTAACGAGATGCATTATGTCTTCTGGTTGTAAGATGAAAACACAGGAAACTTATGGAAAATTGCTACTATTTTAAATACTTACACGTAGTTTTGGAAAGGTCTGGTAAAAATGCCACTGAATAGCTCATCGCGTCTCTGGATTTGATGAGGGATCTATTCTGAGACTGTGGGAAAATGGTCGTGATCCATGCCTAGAACGCCTGTCCTCAGATATGGAAATAAAACTGTTAAGAATTAGAAGAAAATGAAAGAGTTGTTCTAGAAGGATCCATAACCCCTAGTTTCCCTGATTTCTCTAATTCTGTGCATCTCTGGGGCCGTTACCTTTTCAGATGGTTAACCGCTCGGCTAGGGAAGGAAGAATCGAGGTGCCTGGTGCACAGCAGGCGCTCAGTAAAGACGGTCTGGGTGGACAAGTGCATGGACGCCTGTGAATGCTGCTCATCCTTGACTTTACAGTTGTCACTTGAGTTATGCTCATCACCTAACTCACATGTGAAGTCTTTTAAGACCCAAGTCCCTTTAACTCACTTCTCTAGTAACTTCTGTCCTTAAAACAGACCAAAACATACACTCCACTCAACTGATGGAATTTTCCAGAGGGATAGGAAGCTCAGTCTCAAGTGAAGACATTCAGTGTTTTGATATTAGGATGGGTCTTTTAGAGATAAATGCTTCAAGCCAGGAAAAACAGCACCAAGAGGAAATAATGCATGTGTGGGCAGCGTTGGAAATATAGGGGAGCTGCATCATGGGAACTCACGTCGTTATTATTTTTAAAGTTCCTTCGTGTTTGTACAGCTGCGAGGGTGCCACCAAGCAGGGCTGTGTGTTTCCAGGCCCCGGGCGGCGCCTGCGTCCTGGGTAGCCCCGGCCGTAACCTCCATCCACAGACAAGACTTCCTCATCGTCGGCTCCCTGCATCAGCACCAGACACGTAGGCATGTGATGCTGAGAACAAACCTATGTTCTCAAAGCCCCCAGATGCTGAAGGAATTTTTTCCAGGGCCTGCAGCCCAAGCCTGCCCTTCCTGTCCACACCCCTGCTGTGGCCTTCGGGTCTGGACTAGCCTTCCCTGTCCCACCCCAGGCCTGTGCCACCCAGAGAGTGCCCTCCCGCCTTGGGTGCTTGTGACCTTCTCAGACCTGAAGGTCAAGTCCAGGCCGTGATTCTGCAAGGCGACAGCAGAGCTCCAGCTAACCGAGTGGGCGGGAGACCCACACACACACACACCCCACCCCGGGGCCTCCGCTGTTGGAATGGAAAGCTAAAGTCCAGTGGGGCTTCGTCAATTCTCGAGAAAATGAAAACTCACCTGCTGGGTAGAGCTGGAGAGGCAGTTTGTAGAAATCCACCTTAGAGGATGGAACTCAAACATTAGGACCTCCCTGCCAGAGCAGTCCCGGGCCAACCACCTAAAAAGCCATTGACATATTTTTGTTCCTGGTTCAGCTGAATTTTCTATTTGAGGTTTCCTTATTAGATATGATTTCACCATAACTTTCAAATCTCAAAAAAAAAAAATCTTTTTTTTTCCTCTTCCAGAAAGGAAGGTTTGTCTTTATCCAAATGGCCATGGCTGCCTTACCAACAGCAGCTCTGGGGGCTGTTACCCCGGCGCCAGCAGCTGAGCCCTATTTTTCATCCACACAGCTAGTTGCACACCCCCCATCCCAGGGTCCTGGGGGGCTACCGGAGTCCTGGGGTGCCTCCCGGGGTTGGAGGAGGTCAGGCCCACCCCCTCCTCCGCTGTCCCGCAGGCACCTGAGCTCGGCACCTTGTGAGTCTCAAAGCTCTGTATCTAAGGATCAGCCGCAGGAAAGGGGCTTTCTTCCTGAGGTTCTGACAGAGAGGGCGCTGTTCTAGGCTAAACCTCGCTGAGCACTCCCAGCAACGTGCGCGTGGCCCGCTCGCTGTCACGCTGAGCGCCCTCGCGTCCCCCCCAGCACCATGTGCGTGGCCCGCTCGCTGTCACGCTGAGCAACCCTGCGTTCCCCCAGCAACGTGTGCGTGGCCCGCTCGCTGTCACGCTGAGCGCCCCCGCCCCAGCGGCTGTGTGCTAGGCTAAACCTCGCTGAGCACTCCCAGCAACGTGCGCGTGGCCCGCTCGCTGTCACGCTGAGCGCCCTCGCGTCCCCCCCAGCACCATGTGCGTGGCCCGCTCGCTGTCACGCTGAGCGCCCCTGCGTCCCCCCCAGCATCCATGTGCGTGGCCCGCTCACTGTCACGCAGCGAGAACAAACTGCAGTTCTCCGTTCCCAGCACGTTTCCCACCCGTTGTTGCAGACGGGGTTTGGACACGAGTTTCAGGAGGAGCCGGCTGAGCAAACAGAAGCCAGGTGGCAGCTTTGCTCCCCACACGCCCGCTCTGTGCTTCGACCAAGCCTAGACTCAGTCGTGGTCAGCTCGGCAGCCAGAAACAGACGCTGTGGTCTGGGCGATATCAACAACATTATTTCTCACAGTTTGGGAGACTAGAAGTCCAAGGTCAAGGTACCAGTAGGGCTGGGTGTCTGGCGAGAGCTGTCTCCTTGGGTGACAGGGCCACCTTCTCACTGCGTCCTCACAGGACGGGGAAGGGGAGCTGCCTGGTCTTCTTCTTGTGAGAAGACACTCATCCCCTAGGTTGGCCTCACCCTCGTAACTTCATCTAAAGGGTGAAGGGTGTCACCTTCAGATGCTGTCACATACGGATTAGGACTTCGCCATGCGGATCTGCGGGAGGACGCAGACGTTCAGTCCCTAACCGGCCCTGTGTTTGCGTCTTCTCTGTCCTCCTGCCCCCCTCGGTCTCCGCCCTCTTCCTTCCTTGGTTCTCTGTGGCGCAAGAAGCCTGGGGCAGCGTGTTTTCCACTGGGCACAATGATGGAAGAATTTACCTTCTTCTCCTCCAGGAACTCCCCCGACGAATGCAGCGTGGCCAAAGGCGGGAAGATGGTGGGCAGCCCGGACACGGTCGGGATGAACTACGGCGCCTACCTGGAGGAGAAGCACGTGCCACCCCCGAACATGACCACGAACGAGCGCAGAGTCATCGTCCCAGCAGGTCAGGTGCTCACGGCCCCCCCTCTGCTCCGCCCGCAGACCCCGCCTTTCTAGAGCAGCCTGGAACTTTCTCTTCCTGCTGGTGGCGTCGGCCGCCCTCAGTGGTCTAAAGCGGTGACTGTAAATGGAAGCCAGCAGGACTCGGTCCACCTGTGATGAAATGTCACTGATGTGCGTGCGTGTGTGCGTGTGTGTGTGTGTGTGTACGCACACCCGAAAGAGACAGAGAGAGGGAGAGACAGACAGACAGACAGTGTATGCACACCCGAGAGAGAGAGACAGAGACAGACAGACACACAGACAGAGAGAGAGAGAGACAGAGAGAGGGAGAGACAGACAGACAGACAGAGGGAGACAGAAAGAGACAGAGAGAGACAGACAGAGACAGAGACAGAGAGACTGAGAGGGGGAGAGAACTGTCCCTGAAAAGTGACCTTTCTGGGGAGCAATTGCCCTTTCTCTGAGATTATCGAGTGTTAAATGTCCTTTCTTTTGTGAGGTGCTGTTTCTAATCGATGGTAGCCTCGTTGGCGTTTTCAGCCATGTTTTCACCTGCCAGAATAATAGGTCGGAAGCCGTATATTGCTTGTTCTTAGAATCTAAAATTCTAGCGGTCACTGGCCTGTGACACAGATTCTGAGACCCAGAGCAGGTTTTACCAGAGCATTAGTTCTAAACCCAACCCAAAGCAGTAACTCTGAATTTAGGAAAACGCCAGGAACTCATTTCCTTAGCAGAGTGAAAGGGAACAGGAAGAATGACTTAAACGCTCCTCGGAGAAAACGTGTGACGTAAACCTGAAAACACCATGGTGGCAGCGACAGTCCCCGCCCCGTGGGCCTCGCTCGTGCCGGGCACGCTGTCAGCCGTTCGGAGGCATCGTCCCGTGCAGTCTGGGGAACAGGCATCCTCGTGGCCACCCTGACGAGGAAGACGAAGCTCCCAGAGGCCAACGGCCTTTCCCAGGGGCAAACGGTGAGGAAGAGGTCGCATTGACGTTTGAACAGGTCTGCCCAGATCCTGCATCCTCTCCCTTTAGGTATCAGATGAAACCTCAGTTCCTTATAGTGACCCCTGTGGGCACTCATTCCGGACATCTGGTCACCCTGCCGTTCTGTGTCAGGGGCTTGAACTTGCTGTCACCTCAGCCTGCAACCCTTGATTCCAGGTAGCCCCATCCTTCAGGCTCCATGCGAGCATCTCGGGGAGGACCTCCCTCACCGTGCCCTGTAGGGTCAGTCCCCACTCCGCCCCTGGCACTCCAAATCCACCACCCCTCACACAATTATCTG